GATCGGCTCAGGTGGGGGTTTCAACGCCGGTGTCGATGGTTCGGTGGGCTTGTATCTGGACGGGGTGTACATACCAAAACAGGCGGGTCTGTTGCAGTCCCTGACAGACGTTACCGCGATTGAACTTCTTAAAGGGCCGCAAGGTACCCTTTACGGAGCGAATACGCCGGCTGGTGTTTTGAATGTGCGCACGGGTCGACCGACCCAGGAGTTCGAAGCCAACATGCAGGTTGGTGTGGGAAACTTCGACTCGCGCGAGATTACCGGTTTTGTGTCCGGTGGTTTGTCAGACGATGTGGCCGCACGCTTGAGCTTCTGGTCGCGGGAAAATGAAGGCTGGTTAGATCTGATGCAGGGTGGTACCAGTAACAGCCGAAAGGAATACGGCGGGCGTATGAAACTGTTGTGGGCGCCTAGCGATCGGGTTGAGTTGGAACTCGCTATGGACTATTCGTTTATGGAAACAGTTTGCTGCGATGGTGAATGGATCGACATTTCGGATGAAGCGTTGGCCACCTTTGACCGCATGGCCACCGGGCTTAATCTGGACCGCAATAAAGTTTTCCCGAGTCGCGCCGGTGGTTATCAGGGTCGAGGCGAAAAACTCGATCACAAGAGCTTTTCCCAAGCTCAAGGTACTGAAAATTTCGACCATTGGGGTGTATCGCTGCGCGGCAGTGCGGACCTTGGAGGTGCATTCGAAGGGTTTGATCTGACCGCGATCCTCTCTTACCGGGATTGGGATTCGGATCAAATTCAGGACCAGGATGAGGTCGGCGTCGACGTCACAGTGTTTGCTGATCAACCTGAGGTCCGTGAAACTACTACCTTTGAAGTACGTCTAAGCTCTCCTGCCGATCGTTTCCTCGAGTACACCGCAGGATTGTTTTACCTGAATGATGACGGCTCATTCCAGCAGCAATCTCAACTGGCGCTACCCGGCTGCATGTTCTCCAGAAACGTGCAGGGCCGCGTTGATTCTGGGGCTTTGGAAGATACCGCAGAGGCGCGTTCGCGCTGTGGTGGTCATGGGCGTTCGGACAACTGGGAGCAGGAGTGGGAAAGTATTGCTGCTTTTGTTCAGGCGACTGCTAACCTCACCGATAATCTGTCACTGACCCTTGGGGGTCGGATTACGCGGGATGACAAATCGGTAGAAAAGACAATCCGCAATTTCGATGCGCTGTCGGAAACAATTGTTGCCGATTTTGGTCTGAACTGCCCTCAATGCACCTTCGGCACCGGCAGTGCCACCATTAACGAGTTGGGTATTCTGTTCGGTAGTGCAGCCTTTGAGGACGAAATAGACAACACCCAGGTCACCTGGGCTGCGACATTGCAGTACTACATCAACGCAATAGAGGCGGCAGACGATCTCATGATTTATGCCCGTGCGGCCACCGGTTACAAGGCGCCTGGTATCAATGCCCGCCCGATTCGGTTTGCTACCATTCCTCGAAGCTACGATGAGGAAACATCGGAAAACTACGAAATCGGTGTGAAATCAACCTGGTGGGATCGGCGCCTGCAGGTGAATCTGGCGGTTTATCAGAACAACTTTAAAGACCTTCAGCAAACTGCTTCAAACCCTTCATCTGATCCCACGGGCGCGATTGGTACGTTTGTGCAGAATGCGGGCGAGCTTGAGCACACAGGTGCCGAAGTAGAATATATTCTGCAGCCCACATCCTGGCTTTCGCTGTCCGGCGGCATCGCTTATCTCGATTCCGAGTATGTTGAATTTGTTGGTGCGCCGTGTCCGGATCTTGGCAATGTTCCGGCTGACCCAATCATTCCGGGTTTGTGTGATTTCACGGGTTTGCCGAATGGGGAAACTCCCGAGTGGCGGAGTAATCAAACCGTTCGCTTAACCTTCCCCGGTCCTGACGAGCGGATGGAATGGTTTGTCCAGGGATCCTGGATCTATACCGATGATATGTACGTAGATGCTGATCTGGATTTGCGGTCCTTTCAGGAGTCTTATTCGACCTACGATATGACCACCGGGCTGCAGGCGGTAGACGGGCGTTGGAAGATCACTGCCTGGGTACGTAATCTGTCGGATGAAAAGTACCTGCTAAGCATCACCAATGGTGCGGTACCGGGTCTGTTCGGAAATCGAGGGTCTAAAGTCGTTCGGCTGGGTATGCCTCGCAGCTTCGGTTTACGGGCGTCGATGAATTTTTGATCGCGTTTTGGAGGTGTTGAGCTTTACGTATCTACTGCGGTTTGTCAGGAGACTGATCAATGAGTCGCATTGTTTGGATTAGATGGCTACTTGTCATTGGTACATTCGGTTTCGCAGCGCTTGCGATCGCGCGTGTGCCAATGGACGCGGAGCTACGGGCGAATGTAGATTCGTTGAAGCAAGCAATGGTCGCGTCGCCAACGTCGTCACGCAATGCTCAGGAAAGGGCGCGTGTTCTATACGACTGGATTAACGCGCATGCTATGGCTGGTGGTTATGTTCCGGTGAATGCAACAGGTGTTGTCCAACGTGCGTTAGCCTACCAGGCGCCGGTTTACGTAGAACTCGACGCGCTGATCAAGGAGTTGGCGTTACATGACGACGATCCGCAGGCGATTGGCGCTCTGGTGCATACTGGTAGCGGGTCTCATCAGGCTAATAGCTATAGTCAGTTCAGCCAGACCTATACGATTGGCACGGAACCGGTACGGCCTGGTGGCGGTTTGCTGGTCTCCCGGCATTTTCAGACTAACCCCGGGCTCTTTCAGACTGAGCGTCCAGATCAAGACAACTATGTGAGCATTCGCTCGAGTAACACGCGGGCTCGCTTCAAAGTAGAACAACATCCGGTATCGGGGATGCATGGCGGCTTCCGCGCACCCGAACCGCAACTTGTGTTCCGATTAAGAGGTGCGACCTTGCAGCAAGGCGATACCATTACTGTAACCTATGGTGACCGGAGCGGCGGCAGTCGGGGTTTGCGCATGCCAGACTTTGCGTCAGAGCGCATGCCGTTTCCTCTCTATCTGGATTTGGATGGATCTAATCTTTGGTATTCATTGCCGATCCAGCCTGTTCGTGTTGTGGGTGCCACAGTAGCCGGTGTGCACGGGTTTGCACCTTCGTTAGTAGCTGCCGGGGAGGCGTTCAGCTTCACGGTGCGTGCTGAAGATGCCTTTGCCAACCGGGCCACAGGGTCGCTCCCGGGCTGGCAATTGTTTGTTAATGGACGGGTGTTCACTTCTTTGCCGCCGGGTGGCGAAGCGGTGGAGACTGTGGATGACGTGATATTTGACCAGCCAGGTATTTACCGCATCACCATTGCGTCTACAGATGGCACCCTACAAGGTGTGGTCAATCCCATTGTTGTTGAGAAGGATCCGCAACAACGTGTGTTTTGGGGGGATACACATGGCCACTCAGGCTTTGCCGAAGGTATCGGCACCGCAGACGAGTTCATGCGTTTCGCTCGCGACGATTCACGATTGGATTTCGTGACCCATTCGGAACACGACGTTTTCATGGATGCAAAGGAATGGGAGGTTCTGAAGTCGTTGGTGCATAAGTATCACGAAAACGGTCGTTTTATACCGTATCTGGGTTACGAGTGGACGATCGGCAACAGTCAGGGTGGGCATCACAATGTATTGTTCCGCACGCCGGAAGGACGTAAAACGGTACCCGGCGCGTTGTTTCCGACTTTGTCTCGATTGTATCAGGGGCTGCGAGTAGCCAACGATCCTCGAGACATTGTGGTCATTCCCCATGCGCACAACACCGGTGATTATCGACAGTCAGATCCGGAGCTGGAGCCGCTGGTAGAGATATCTTCCATGCATGGTAACTTCGAGTGGTTCGGTCGCATGTACCTGAAGCATGGCCACCAGGTAGGATTTGTCGCCGCGTCGGATGATCATCTGGCCAAGCCCGGATACTCCATACCCTGGAGAGATACGCTGGCTCAGCAGGGCGGCCTTGCCGGTGTATGGACCACAGGGCGGACCAATGATGAGATTTTCGACGCCATGCGCGGGCTGTCCACTTATGCCACCAGCGGGGATCGAATGGTGCTCAACTTCAATGTTAACGAAGGTTCGATGGGCCAACGCATCCCGTTTACCACGGCGCGTACGGTGCAAGGTCGTGTGGTTGGTACAGCGCCTATTCGCAGCATTACCGTGCTGAAAAACGATACCATTTTATGGACTCAGAATTATGACCGGCTCGGCGAAGATGACGGCTCGGACACTCACTTGGCATTGTCGTTCAGTTCGGAGTCTCACCCTGGAGAAGTGTCCGACAACCCTCGCGGCTGGCGCCACTGGAAGGGTACGTTGGCCGTGGAGGGCGCCGACGTGGTGGCGGCGACCCTGGTGGATGAGCACAATCGCAATACACAAAAGCTCGAGCGGGATGAACGGGACGCCGGTACCCTTCGCTTTGCGACCCATAGCCGTGGTGACCATAGTTCAATTGCTTTGACGCTTCGCAATGCAGGTCCAGAAACGCGTCCGATATTGAAGTTAGAGACTGCAACCGAAACAGGCTCGGCACCACCCGTCCTGCGCGCGCATCAGATGATTCCGGGTAGTGAGATCACTTTGCGTCTGGCCGATTTGCGTTCCGGCTATCTGCACCATGCTATGCCCGTCGATGGCTTTGCTGACGCTGTGGAACTCACACGTACAAAACTGGACGCACCACTGAATGTGGATTTCCGATTCGAAGACGATACCCCACCTGGTCATGGCGACTATTACTTTATGCGCGTCCGCCAGGCCAATGAAGCATTGGGTTGGTCCAGCCCGGTCTGGGTCGGTGGACATCCGTCGCGGTAGAGATTGCATGTTGGCATTTTTATATACACCCCAAAATTCAACGCGAGAGTTGTGCATGCACTTAAGTAACTTGTTGTAAACCGCGCATAAGCAATATCTGGTTTGTGATTTTGAATTTAAATTAAGCAGGAGAATGGGAAGTGGCACAAACAATAATTGAGATCAGCCGGGCGAATGTAATGAAGTCGAGTTGTATGGCGCTGCTACTTGCCACGATCACATTGTCAGCATGTTCTGCTCCGGTAGAGCAGGAGACTGAAATCAGCCAGACGCCGGAACCGGCGCCTGCCGCCGATGCACCGCCGGTGGCGCCTCGCTTTGGTGGCGTCCAACTGACCATCCCGAACGAGGTCATTACCGCGGAGCCCCGTGAGAATGCCCGACGCAATGCCTATTTCGGTGACCTCCACGTGCACACGGACTATTCCTTTGACGCTTATGCATTCGGCACAGTCGCGACCCCCTACGATGCTTATCGCTATGCTCAGGGTGAAGCGATTGCCCACCCCGCTGGTTTCGATATGCAGCTGCGCCAGCCGCTGGATTTTTATGCAGTAACAGACCATGCGATGTTCCTTGGCGCGGTAAAGGCTGCGGCAGATAGGAGCACTGCCTTTTCCAAGTTTCCACACGTGCAGGACCTGCATGACCTTAATGACCCGTCCAATCTGAATCTGGAAAGCCTTCCTCAACGGATAAAAGCGTTTAGTGGTTTCCTTCCAGATACGCTAAGCCGGGTGGCCAGTGGCGACATCGACATTGAACTGGTGAACGCCATTGCGAAGTCTGCCTGGGCGGACATCATCAGGGCGGCGCAAACGCACAATCGACCTGGCGAGTTCACCACCTTCGTGGCTTACGAATATACTTCATCTACCGACGACCGGGGTAACCTGCATCGGAATGTGGTTTTCCGCGATGCGGACAAACTGCCTGCCATGCCGTTTTCCCGCTTTCACAGTCAGAACCCTGAAGGACTGTGGGACTGGATGGATGGCCTGCGTAGTCAGGGCATAGAGTCGCTGGCCATTCCACATAACTCCAATGGCTCCAACGGGCAGATGTTCAAGATGGTGGATTGGGCAGGGAATCCGATGGATGACAGCTATGCTCAGCAGCGACTGCGCAACGAACCCTTGGTTGAAATTACACAGGTGAAGGGCACATCGGAAACACACCCGGCATTGTCAGATAACGATGAGTGGGCGAATTTCGAAATCATGCCCTACCGGATCGCCACAACGCTGTACAGTGAACCGCGGGGTTCCTATGCGCGGGATGCACTGCTAAATGGCCTGACGCTGCAGGACCAGGGTGTCGCTAATGCCTATCAATTTGGTTTTGTGGGTGCTTCTGACACCCATACTGGCGCTGCATCTCTGGATGAAGATAACTTCTTTTCCAAAACCGGTCTGTTGGATGCCGATGGCGGTCGCAGGGGCAGCATTCCACTTTCCGCTGGTGATGCTGAAATCATCAAAGCAGCAGGGCGAGTAGAAGTAAAAGAAATAGATGGGGGGACCTATGCTTCGGGGGCCTATGAAACCTGGGGCGCTTCTGGTTTGACCGGCGTATGGGCGGAAGAGAATACCCGCGGGGCGATCTATGATGCCTTTCGTCGCAAAGAAACCTTTGCAACTTCAGGTCCCAGATTGCAGGCGCGTTTATTCGCCGGCTTCGACTTCGATGATGAACTGTTGGCATCATCTGATCGCTACGAACAAGCATACGCACGCGGCGTAAGCATGGGTTCTGAACTGCATGCTAAAGCAGATCGGCCTCCTGTATTTTTAGCCTGGGCTGCACGTGATGCAACTTCGGCAGCACTGCAACGTCTGCAGATTGTCAAAGGCTGGACTATAGAGGGTGAACATCACGAGTTTGTGTATGATGTGGCGTGCTCAGATGGCGGTGAGGTAGATCCTAATACTCACCGTTGTCCAGACAATGGGGCGGGCGTTGATCTGACAGATTGCTCCATCACTCAAGATGTTGGTGCCGGGGAATTACAGGCGGTGTGGACAGATTCTGACTACAATCCTGCACATCGTGCATTCTATTATGTGCGTGCTCTTGAAAATCCAACCTGCAGATGGTCGACCTGGGATGCAGTGCGGGCTGGTGTTGCGCCTCGTTCAGATCTGCATAAGACCATACAAGAGCGGGTCTGGACCTCCCCGATCTGGTTGATTCCCACTGGCTGAAGCACCGCGCTTTTCGGTCGCGAAGTGTCCGATGGCATCATTTAAGGGGTGGGCGTTACAGTGAATAGGCGGCTAGCTTAACCAGTTGAAGGTCAGTACCGAATCGGGCCCTAACAGCCAGGTGACGCGTGGTAGCAATTAAAGCAAAAGGTGACAATAAGTCCACATTTTGAGCTGGAACTGATAAGTTGTCTCGGTAATTCAGGACAGCTTCAGAGGAAAGTTCTATTCTGTCTGGTCGTCGCCGGTTTGATATTGGCATTAAATATAGGGCTGTGCGGCGTGCCTGATCGCCTGGATTGATCAGAACCGGGATAGCAGGAGAGATACAAGATGCAGAAAGCCATACGAAACAGGCTGCTGGCGGGAACAGTTGCATGCCTGGCGATGTGCTTTGGTATCCAAAGTGCATCCGGCGAAACACCCGAGCGGAACGCTTATTTTGGCGACACGCATATTCATACCATGTACTCCTTCGACGCCTTTATGGGCAGCGTGCGCACCACGCCAGACCACGCCTACCGCTACGCTAAGGGTGAGCCTATCGATCATCCTGCGGGCATGAAGCTCAGGATAAGCGGGCCGCCTCTGGATTTTCTGATGGTCTCTGATCATGCTAAATATCTAGGCGTGTTTGCAGCTCAGATCGATCCGCAGGCGCCGTATTATGGTCACCCCGATGCACAGGATCTTGTGCCTAAAGGCTCGCCTTTGGACTCTACCGTAAAACGGCTCCGCGAGCTCGAAGCCGAAGGGCATAGATTCATGGGTGCGCCCGTGTGGGAATACGCGTGGCAGAAAATCATTGAGGCGGCTCAACGACACAATGATCCCGGCACGTTCACTACTTTCATTGGATATGAGTACACGCCGACACCCGGTAGCCGCCATCTGCATCGTAACGTTGTGTTTCGCGGCAGTCGCGTACCAGATCGTCCGTTCAGTTCAGGGGATTCGATGGATCCGGAAGATTTGTGGAACTGGTTGGATGGGCTGCGTGCAGACGGCATTGAGGCACTGGCGATACCACACAATATGAACCAGAGTGATGGCCTGGCGTATCAAGGGGTTACCTTCAAAGGAGCGCCCATCGATCGGGCCTATGCTGAAAAGCGCATGCGCAATGAACCCATTGCCGAGATCAGCCAGCAGAAAGGCACCTCGGAAACTCATCCTTCGCTTTCGCCTAACGATGAGTGGGCTGACTTTCAGATCGTGCAGTATTATCTGAACCGGACTGAGAACAAGAACCCCATCTCGGTTTTTAAGGGGGGCTATTATCGAGATGCATTGAACACGGGTCTAGAGTTTCAGGCGCGTAGCGGCTTCAACCCGTATCAACAGGGTGTGATTGGCGCCAGCGATACCCATTTATCTGCCGGGCCTTTCGAGGAGGACAATTACTTCAGCGGTGGTCCTAACGATGCGGTCTCGCGCGGGTCGGCCTATCCGGACGCGGGCGATGCGAACGCGTCCTGGGAAGACTTCTGGACACCCCGCTCGGCTACCCATGGCACGGGTGGATTGGCCGGCGTCTGGGCCGAGGAGAATACGCGCGACTCTCTCTACGACGCTATGCGCCGTAAGGAGACGTTTGCTACTTCTGGCCCACGCATACGAGTACGCCTTTTTGGTGGTGATTTGCCCGCGAACGTCGCCGATTTAGCAGATCCGATCCAAGCCTCATACGCCAACGGTGTCGCCATGGGCGGCATGTTGGACGCGCCATCGAAACAGGCACCAAGATTCCTGGTGTGGGCGACAAGAGATCCCAACGCTGGATGGTTGCAGCGTGCTCAGATCATCAAAGGCTGGGTGGAGGAGGGCGAAGCGAAGGAAGCGGTGTTTGACGTGGCTTGCTCAGACGGCCTGTCACCGGATCCCGATACACACCGTTGTCCAGACAATGGTGCAAGAGTGAATCTGGCCGACTGCAGTGTCAGTAGCGACACGGGTGCGGTGATGTTGAAAGAAACCTGGAAAGATCCCAACTTCGATCCTGACCAGCAAGCTTACTACTACGTCCGCGTGCTGGAGAATCCGAGCTGCCGTTGGTCCACCTGGGATGCGATCCGCCTTGGCATCGAGCCGAACCCCAACCTGCCCGCGGTCCACCAGGAGCGGGCCTGGTCTTCACCGATCTGGTACCAACCCTAGCTCGCTTGCAGGCATTTGCAGCTAAGACTAAGCAGTATGAAATTACTTAAAGGCCTCTATGTAACGGCACTTGCCTGCTGCTTCTTGTGCTCGGACGCCACTTTCGCCGCCGAACCAGTGCCAGTTTCCATAACCCGCCTCGGGGCCGGCCCCATTATCACGCCTGCTATGGATCAGCGCATGGGTAGTAATATTCAGGGGCCATCGTTGATCAAAGTACCTGGCTGGGTGAAAGATCCGCTGGGTGCGTATTACCTGTATTTTGCAGATCACCGTGGCAGCTATATCCGTATGGCCTATGCCAATTCATTGACCGGTCCGTGGACAGTTTATGCTCCAGGTACTATGAAACTTGAAGACTCCTATTTTCCAACCACATGTCCGCCTTGTTCGTTGGCGTCAGGTCGTGACGCACCACTGTACGCGCACATTGCGTCGCCTGATGTCCATGTGCGCGAAGACCTCCAACAAATCGTGATGTATCTGCATGGCAGAGATGAAGGCAAACAGCTCACTCGCCTGGCCGTTTCTGGAGATGGCATTCATTTCGAGGGTAAGTCAGAGGTGTTGGGTCGCCCTTATTTTCGGGTGATCAATCATGAGGGCTACTACTACGCTATGAGTATGCCCGGTTATCTGTATCGCTCGCAAAATGGCTTGAGCGAGTATGAAGCCGGACCACGTTTCTTTTCAGATGACATGCGCCACTCGGCGTTGTTGATTCGCGATGGCTTGCTGCATGTTTTTTACACTCAGAGGGGCGATGCGCCTGAACGCATTCTGCTTGCAACAATTGATATGGCCGGCGACTGGCTGAAATGGCAGGCCTCAGCGCCGATCGAAGTTCTGCGCCCCGAGACTGTTTGGGAAGGTGCTAACCTGCCTATTGAAGCTTCGCGCGCTGGGTATGTGAATGTGCCAGTCAACCAATTGCGGGACCCGGCTGTCTACCAGGAGAATGGGGAAAGCTATTTGTTGTATGCCGTAGCCGGTGAAGGTGGGATTGCTATTGCAAAAATTGATTTTGAGTGATTTGTGCATGACCACAGTACCTGCAGTGGCAGTGTTTTTGCATTTTCGACGGCAGGCGATTTTAGGGACCAAGAGCTGATGGCCTGGTATAAAGATCCATTGCTCTTTTTTCTGCTGGTCGGCACCGTCATTTTCGCGTTCTCTCAGTGGGCTTCGCAAAAAGATGGTGAGTACAACATTGTCGTTGGCGAAGCAGACATTCAGCGCCTGAAAGACCAGTGGTCCATGCAGATGCGACGGCCGCCGAACAGCCAGGAACTGAAAGGTCTGGTCGATCAGTTTATCAAAGAAGAAATTTACTATAGAGAAGCTATGCGTTTGGGGCTGGACGCAAACGATACTATTGTGCGGCGACGCATGGTGCAGAAGCTGACCTTTCTGACCGAGGACATCGCCACCTCAGGGGCGTTCACTGAAGAGGCGCTGCGAGCCTTCTATCAGGACAACCTGAGCACCTACCGGCTGGCTGATCAGTACAGTTTCAAACATCGATATTTTTCCGAAGACCGGCGCGATAACGCCCGGGTAGATGCTGCAGCCGCGCTTGCGGACAGTACAATTACAGGTGACCCATTTATGCTGCAACGGCAATACGCGCTGCGTTCTGAGCGCGAAATTGGTGATCTGTTTGGGCGCGAGTTTGCAGCAAGCCTGGTTAATATGCAGCCGCAGGATATTTGGCAGGGGCCAATTCAGTCCGCCTACGGCTGGCACGTGATCCTTCTGACTGACAAAAGGTCTGCCTCGGTACAATCCTTTACAAGCGTACGTGGACGCGTCCTGGGCGATGCTCAGCAGGCAGCGCGCGATGATGCCAACACTCGCTATTTTGAAGAACTGCGAGCGCAATACAACATTGTTTATGCTGATCCAGTCCCTTAAGCGCTGCTGCTTTTTGCTGATCCTGACCTGTGTGCCTCTCAGCGTTGGGGCAGATGAGATACGTCCCGCGTTTTTGCAGATCACGGAACAAGTTGATACCGACGGCCGCCATTGGTTTAGCGTGTTATGGAAACAGCCCGCGGTGCAGAATGGACGCCTCGCCATTACGCCAGTTTTCCCCACCGATTGTGAGCTGCGGGAAGAATCGCCACCCGAAGTTACCTCGACAGCTTTTATCCAACGCTGGCAAACTGACTGTGATCTAAGCTCAGCTTCCATACATATCGACGGTTTATCGATGACGCTGACGGACGTGATGGTGCACTACAACGACATAGACGGTAGCACAAACAATTACGTCCTGCGGCCTGAAAACCCAACACTCAATCTTGCCACGGATACACCAGGTACGCTGTCCTATCTGTGGATAGGTGTTGAACATCTGATTTTTGGTATTGATCATGTGCTGTTTGTGATTGGCCTGGTGTTGTTCATCCGCGCGCCATGGGCGTTGTTAAAAACGGTCACAGCGTTCACCGTTGCGCATTCCATTACCCTGGCACTGTCGGTGTTGGGCTGGGTTAAAATAGATCAGGGCCCAGTTGAAGCGATCATTGCGCTGTCAATATTATTTCTAGCACGGGAGCTAGTAGAGGAGCCCGACAAACGCTCGCGACTGACAGTTGCCAATCCCTGGATCATGGCTTTTATTTTTGGTCTTCTGCATGGTTTGGGTTTCGCTGGCGCGTTGAGCGATGTCGGCTTGCCGGAGGAAGGCTTATGGTTGGCACTCTTGTTATTCAATGTTGGCATCGAACTGGGTCAGTTAATGATAATTGCCTTGGTGTTGAGCATTATATGGTGTGCACAACGTTTTACCGCCTTACCCACCATCACCCGGATTGGCGCCTGGGGGATGGGTTGTATGGCGGCGTTCTGGACCATAGACCGCACGTGGTTGCTGATTTAGGGAGAGCACGTTGAGGACGACATGCCTATATGGCGCCATAATTTGATCGTTTAGATACTATGATGTCTAAAGCTACTTCGCTGGAGGGTTAGAGATGCGAATTTCCTGTTCGTTGGTTATGGTGTGTTTTCTTCTATCTACTGCCGATAAAGTCCAAGCGCAAGATCAAGCGCCTGTACCCGTGCGCAATCAGGTTGCTGAGACAACTGGCACCCCGATTACGACCATGCGCCATTGGAAGATAAAGAAGGATAGCTTCCCCCAGTTTCTGCACGCGAGCCAGACCGGGGTGTGGCCTTACTTTGAAAAGATTGGCGCCCGTGTGGTCGGCATGTGGCAAGTCATCAATGTAAAACCGGACGATAAAAGTGGCGGTATGGAGAATTCAGGTTTTACGGTGCACCAGAATAATGGTCTTGAATACGACGAGGCAATATTGGTAACCCGGTACGCCAGCGTTGAGCATTGGCAAGCAACTCGTGACGCCGTTGCTCTCGGTGGGGATGGACCTGACTACGCAGCGCTGGTTGCGGCACTCAGCACCCGGCGCGACCTCACCCTGGAAACCTCAGTTACCTTTCTGCAAGGGTATAACGGACCCAATGGTCCATATTTTTTACCCGGGACGGGTGAGCATTTTCAATCCGAAGGCGTTAGCCGTTAGCTCGACCGGTATCACTAATCATCTGATTGATTTCTTCGATCGGAAAATTCGGCGTTCTATCGAAGCAGAGTAGACCATTATTGGTAGACAAAAGATGGCAGCTTATCATCCAAGCTTTGTTGCAATAACGCTCAACAATTCGGCCATCTGAAAATGATATCCCACCGTACCTTTTCCTAAGTCTTTGTTGTAGTTGATTGTGAAGTGTCGGTAGTTGTTGTCATCACTTCCCTGGGGGTGTGCATGGCGATAGGATGGACTCCTCAACGGTGATCTACCTTCGATGGTAATGTGCGATCACATGTTGAATAGGAGGATCCGAAATGGCGATTTCAGTTGTAGGCGTTGATCTATCAAAGTCCGTGTTTCAGTTGTCTCTAGCAGATGCGGACCATCACGTTTTTGAGCGTAAACGGCTAAGCCGAGCTCAATTCCATCGGTTTCTCGCTCGGAGCGAGCCAGTTAGCCTGGTCATGGAAGCCTGTGGTACGTCACATTATTGGGCACGATTCGCTGAGTCTCTGGGCCATGAAGTAAAGCTGCTGCATGCCAAATATGTGAAGGCCTATGTCCGGCGAACCAAAACTGACGCCGCGGATGCAGATGCTTTAATCCTCGCCGATCGCGACGACAGCCTGCATCCGGTGCCCGTTAAACCAGAAGAGCTTCAAGCACTGCAGGGATTGCATCGGATTCGTGAGCGATGGAAGCGAGCCCGTACTGTTCGTATCTGCGAAGCCAGGGCGCTACTGGCAGAGTTCGGCATCACATTGCCCCAAGGTGCCCGGGGAATTGGCAATAAGCTGGCCGAGGGTGCTGAGCATGTACCTGTGCTGATGCAATCAACTCTCCAGGAACTTATCCAAGAGATAGAGGAGTTAGCACAACGCATCAAACAGGTTGACCGCGAACTGTCGGCATATGCCAACACCAACAAAGATGCACAGGCGTTACTGAGCATCCAGGGTGTCGGTATTATCGTTGCCACAGCCTTGGTGGCTCGCGTTCCGAATATCCACAACTTCAAGCGAGGTCGGTCTTTTTCATCCTGGCTAGGGCTAACTTGCAGAGAATACAGTTCAGGACAAACGCGTCGTCTGAGTGGCATCACCAAGCAAGGAGATCGTTATCTGCGCATGCTAATCATTCATGGTGCTCGAGCCGCGTTAATGGCAGCTCGACGCAAAGCGGCAAACGGTAAACAGTTGACGCGTCTGGAGACTTGGGCCATCAACACTCAAGCGAGAGTCGGGCACAACAAGGCAGCGGTTGCGCTGGCTAACAAGATGGCGCGAATCATATGGGCAGTATGGACACGAACCGAAGTTTTCAATGGCGATGACGCTTTGCGTTTTGCCGCGTAAGTGATTTTGAGACTCTTCAACACGCTGCGCACAATAATCGCTTGACGATACACACGGTTCTCCGTGCCGCCTGAAAGGCCGATACCAATTCTTGAACGTTCGAGTTCGACATGGCGATAGGCCCGGGCGGTGCGGATTCTCTCATGGTCCGGTGGTATGACCACCAACAATAAAGGCCGAATACACGAATGCAGCCGCTTCCGTCAGATTGATTAAGCTACGCAACGAGTGAGGAGTAGCCATGTAATAAACAAGAGTTGAAAAAGCAATTGACAGAGGAGTCCATACACGAATTGGTAGTCAGGCAGGAGTCGGTGTATAGAAAAGATTGCGGCAATGTTCCTGCCAATCATAGTTGTTGAGGCTTCCCACTTGACCGAAAAACTCGTGTTTTGCGGAAGGTTTGAATGGGAAAAAATTGAGGCCAACGAAGCCACGAGTCCTTTGTTTATGAGGCTTCCAGCGTAGATAGGAAGCAGAACTGGGGGTCAAGTGGTCGCAGGTTCAAATCCTGCCGTCCCGACCAAAAATCCCTTTTTATATCAGTGGGTTAGAGGCTGTCGAGTGGCCTGCGCATTCTTATTCCTGGTCGACTGGTAGGATATTGGTAGGGTTTGAAGTTGTGGAAATCCTACCAGGTTGGATCGTCCTGTCCGGTAACCGTGTTCTTCCGACGCGCGGTTGAAATTCCTGTATCTGCCCCAATATCGTCTTGGTTAGATATTGACGATACCGCCCATGGCAGATGTACAGAAACAACTCCTCAAATTCCATAACTCGATCAAGCTGAGCGAGAACAGTCAGAACGCCAAGCTCAGGGAGAAGAGAGAAATAATCATCAACGCGTTGAAGGACGGGCTGAAACGTATTTCTGAAGAATCCGGTTCCGAACTTCTGAAGTTTGAACACTTTAATCAAGGCAGCTACGCCATGGGAACTGGAATCAACCCCAAAGATGGCGACTACGATATTGACGTTGGAATCGTTTTTCAGAACCAGAAGTGGGACTTCGCAACTCCTGTTCAACTAAAGAAAACCATCCGAGATGCGGTATCAACTGACGGTAGGAACGTTCGCATTCGACGTCCGTGCGTAACCGTTGAATACCTGAAGAACGAAGAGGTGGACTACCACGTAGACCTTGCGATTTACGCCCAGACGCCCGGAGATGACCTCGAGCTGGCTGTTGGTAGGGAGCACTCATCTGCTGAAAACCAAAATTGGGAATACTCAGATCCCAAAGGACTAATCTCAGCATTCAAAGACAAATATGACGGGGACGATGCGGCACAGCTTCGACGAACAGTTAGATATCTGAAGAAGTGGCGTGATAAGAACTTCGCTTCAGGCGCTCCTACGAGCATTGCACTGACGTGCGCTGCCTACCATTGGTTTGCGCCAACAAAGAGCTTCGGTGAATACACCGACACAAAAGCGTTCAAAAACGTTGTTGATGCAATGTACTTAGAAGCGCAGGGAAGGAGATTGAGTGTCCCTTTACCTGTGACGCCATATACAGATCTTCTCGCTGGCATGACTGAATCGCAGATGGATAACATGCGGGTACAACTCGAAATAGCCCAATCGTCACTCCAACAAGCGATTGATACTGAATCGGTTGTTGAAGCCTGCGAGAAATTGAAGAAGCTTCTCGGCGACGAGTTCGAAGTGCCTGATGATGGCGGTGACGGTGGCTCCGGTTCAAGAACTGCGAAACGCAGTGCTGTGCCCCCTTACGTAACGACCGGAACCTCTGCGTGATCGACACGCTTGTCGCTCGACTCAAATCACTGGATTTGGTCGTAGACGCCAATGTTTCGAACAACGACATACTCGTCAGCACATCTCATGTGCCTCCTTACGTGATTCGGTTAGCAGATCTAAATCGACTTCCTTACAAGCTCCCGTCAGCAACACTAGAGAATCTTGACACGGTTGGTGTGCGGCCGCATGTCTCATGGAGCGGTGTCATCTGTGTGTCTGATGGGGAAGCAATAAACATCGACCATAGATTTCCTGAAGATGTCGCTGCAAAGTACCTCGAAGACGCCATCGCTGTACTCGACTCACACGAGCCGGATGATCTGAGTCAATTCTGGGATGAATTCGAGGGATATTGGAACGCTCAGAAGACGGATACGGTCTACTTTGTTGGAGACCCACCAGACAAGTGCACGGAACTCAGAGTTAAACTCAATAAGCGCGGACGCGTTACGGCCGTCGTCGAACTCGCATCGGTGGCACGGCAGATTGGCGGATTCAAGAGATCCGTTTACTGGGGGCAGCAAGAAATCGTGGGGTATTACTGCCCACTCAAAACTAATGTTGTTGTCCCCGAGCCTCAGACAGCGTTGCGTACCGATGATCTAGAGCGTGCCTTGAGCGCGATGGCCCTCGAAGATCGAGAATTCATAGACAAGGCGCTTCGAAGTCTCAGCGCGAAACGTAAGGATTCCAAATCTTTAGTCCTTGTTTTCGGTCAGTCGCGTCCAAGATCTGGCAGCGTGTCGCTTTTCGGTGTGAGCGTGCCTAGTGGAGTCAAGTACCTTACTAGTGGCATTACTAACTACAAACGGACGATTTCAGCGCTTCGATTGCTCCGTTTTGGGGACGCACACCTTTCGGCGAGAGCATCGTCAGAACGCTCACTCGGAGAACACACGTTTGCAGTTGTTGGGTGCGGCGCCGTTGGTGCGAGAATCTCCGAGTTGTTGTTGCAGTGTGGAGCGAGATCACTGGCGTTGGTTGATTTTGATCTATACGAGGCGGACAACGTTTTTAGACACATCCTACCAAGTTCCGAAATCGGTAAATCCAAGGCTGAGGCGTTGGCTGAACACCTAGAGGAGAAATACCCGTTTGTTGACGTAACTGCCTATCAAAACGACGTTGCGTCGCCTGGCGCATTGAAGGAGGTGCTCGGTAAACCACCCGATGTGCTCGTGGTGGCGATTGGACAACCGTCATTGGAACGAATGCTCAATGAAGAGGCTTATGCACCGGTTACTTTGTTTTCCTGGCTGGAACCGCTTGGACTGGGTGGGCACTCAATTGTGCGAGACAGCGCTAATGGGTGCTTGGAATGTCTGTACCGCAAAGAAAATACACCCTCACTAGAGCCCGTCTGCTCGTTTCTTGCACCAGGTCAAACTGTATCTCGAAATCTAACGGGTTGTGCCGGAGCTTTTATCCCATTCAGTGCGCTTGATGCCGCCAAAACCGCATGCATGGCGATGGACTTGTTGGTGGATGGGCTCAGTCGAGGTGAATTCAATCAGAAGTATCGCTGCTGGACCGGAGATAATTCTGCCGCAACGCGGGTTGGAATCACAACCAGTCCATGGTTTGCTGAGGTAAGGAAAAATGGGCAGGAGGCTATTGATCAGACGCTAGACAACGGATGTTCTGTCTGTTCGGGAGGAGACGATTGAGATTCGCTTTAGAAGACGGGGTCCTTTCGTTTTCACCTCGAGCAACGGAACTTTTGAATAGCCACCGTCAGCTAGATCCAGCCGACTGTGAGGCCTGCGGAGTTCTTTTGGGGCGACTGTTTAACGAAGTGCATGATGCAGTTGTCGATGATATTTCGGAACCACAGATTCAAGACACGCGCTCCAGGTTTAACGTTTTCCGCTCAAGTGAACATTCACGTATTGCTCTGGAACGATGGAAGGCCTCGCAAGGTTTCGAACTTCTCTTGGGCCTATGG